CCCGCCCCGCCCTCTCGCGTAGCCTCGCCCCGGCGCGCCGCCCTCTCCCGCGCGCCTGCTTGTTTCGAGTGGGCTGGGCAGTGCGTGCCCCGGGGCTGGACCGCACGCAGCAGCAGGGCGGGGACGGCGGTCATGGCGGAGAAGTGGAGGGCGCGCCGTACGTGCCGCCGCCTGGGTCAGGGTCGCTGAGAGAGATGAAAGATGATCCCTGCAGGTCACTCACTGTGTGTGTGTGTGTGTAGGTGTGTGTGCAAAGTGGGCTTAATGCAATCCCTCTTCAGTGTAGGGAGGTGGTAATCCCTATCATACACATACCGGCATATGTCTCGCTCTCGCACACTCGTTGGCAAGTAAAAGTAAGAACCTATTCTCCTCCTGCCCTGCTGCTCGCCCTGCTCGCCTGGCTCTTTCAGGTGATCTTTACTGGTCGACTTTTTTATGTCTTGGTGCAGACAACCTAGTATAAGAGCAGGCAATTCTAAATCACGTCTCTCTCTGTATATCTCCCCCCCCCCCTCTCTCTCTCTCTCTCTCTCTCTCTCTCTCTCTCTCTCTCTCTCTCCGCGTCTCTCTCTTCCTCGCACGCGTTCACCGCGCGGTGGCTGGCGGACGTTTCTTCTACATCAATAGGCGCGCATCGAGCGGGATGAGTTCGATAATTATCGGCTGCGGTGGTTGATGTTGTTGGCCAGCAGCTGGCACGGCCTGGCGCGGCCTGGAGCAGCGTGGCAGCGGGTGGAAGGGAAGGACAGGGTGCGGTGATGGAGTGCCCGTCATCAAGTTGTTTTACAATTGGGGCAGAAGGACACGCTAGGCGTGGCGCGGTGAACGAGAGGGAGAGAGAGAGAGGTGCGGTCCAGTTTGTCTTTGTTCCCACAACTCCTCCCTCCCTCTCTCGCTCCTTTCCGGCCGTTTCGTTCGCTTGCAGTGGGTGGAATCAGGACCGCGGGCTATCACGTTCCAGAACGCATGTGTCTTTGTCAGGGGAATTAAATTAGAGATCGACTCGCAAAATCAAAAGGCGTGGCGCGGTGGAGGGAGTTGGCGAGGAGTTACGGAACCCGCCCGCATGCCTGGCGCAACCCTATTATATGGATGGCATGGCGCGCTATGGAAATGACCCACTAACTTGAATGAGACCTTCTCTCGCACCACTTATATACTCAGTTTCGGATTGTCCTTCTCCCTTTATCCTTCTGCACAGTTTTATTTTTTTCCCACCGCGGTGGCGGCGTTCCGCTCGCCTCCACACTTCTCTTTCCATAAATACTATCTTTTTCCATCCAGCGCGTAGTTGTTTCTCGCCTGTGATGATGGCGCCACTAATGCCCCGGTTGGAGCCTTCCAAGCTGCTTATTCGGCGCTACTATAACTTAACACTCTCTTTCTTCTTTCTCTCTCCCTCTCCCCCTATATCTCTTCCTTTCTCTCCTTCTATCTCTCGCGATTTGTTTTTCGCCGCTCGCTGATCATGTTGTCCGCCGTCTACTTATTCACACGGCCGTGCTCACACACACTCACACTCACAGACCCCCCCTCTCTCTCTCTCTCTCTCTCTCTCTCTCTCTCTCTCTCTC